CGGGCTGGTTGATTTACTGCTGGATCAGACCCTAGCAGAATAAGACATCTAAAGGTTGGCCATTACATTCACGAGCCTGCCTACCTACAGGCGACTCTACAAGTTTCTCATGCATTTGGAGCAGTGGTGCTCAATCTTTTGGGCTAGATAGACAGGGCCCAGGCTGTCCACGGACCAGATCCAGCTGGTGTCTCAATCCAGTATGGAGTGGTCACAGCAGGACCCCATCCAGCTGGTATCCCAGTTCCAGCCTGGCCCTGCATGGGGTGGCCCAGCTCCAACCTGGCCCACAGGGGAGAAGGAGCATGGCCCAACCCCGTCCAATCTGGGAGGAGGAGTGCAGCCTGGCCTCATTCAGCTGCCGGGGGAGGAGGCACGACCCAGCCCTGTGGGGGGCTCAGGGGTTGGGAATTGGGCAATGGAGAAGGGTGGCTATATTTATTGCCACTAATCCCCTGCTGCCAAGTTTCCCAGTCCGTGGGCATCCCTGCAGACTGGATAGCTATGGCTCTACAGACCACATTTGGCCCATGGGCTGGAGGTTGAGCACCCTGATTTATAGCATGCTGATGCCAAGACCATTGCACCCAACATTTAAAAGTTTTTAAAAGAAGGCAGTCCAAATGTAATGCTTGAGTAATAGGACAATACCACACTCTAGTAAAATGGTGGCAAAATGAGAATTTGTGTATTAATGACAGTAAAAGGGGGTGTTTAGTAGGCATTGAGAACAAAAAAATATGAAAGATTCCCTAAGAGATGAACAAGAGTGGCATAAATAAATGCAGACTGATCTAAAAAGCAAAGTCCTCCAAGCATGTGATAACCCCACCACACCCTCCCCGCCCCCAGGATAAAACCCAAACTGGACATATACTGGTATCTTGACTACTTTGTATGTAAAAGACATGCCTGAGCAGACATAAAAAGCTAGTCAGTGTGGGATACCAATAGTAATAAATGCTCTACCCCCAAAACTAACTGCCATGGCTCATTACTACAGGGTTGTGATAGGATATTCCTTTTACAATGCAACGCAATGAAGGCAACCTATGCTAGGGCTTAAGCCACAATTCTGTTTCTTACAAGAAAGTAAACGAGGTCAATTTATACTGGACAAATCTGAGTTATATTTTGCCCTAGGCTTTGTCCTAGAGTTTCTAGTTCTGGAAAAACTCCTAATAATATTAGGTTTTTTTTTTAAAGGAGACACACACATATTAGGGGAATATGGAGAAAAAGGAAGGTGAGATTTCAGTGCATGCATATATGAATAAGTACTGACAACGTGACTCGGACAGATCTGTTCCATTCTGGTAGCACGGTTGATCACTCGGGGAGCTGGAAGTTCTCCTAAGGAGATAGTTCAATCGTTAACCTCTGTCAAAGCAAGGCGGCAAGTCCATGTGAATCAGTCTCTGCTCCAAAAACATTGTGGCGCTGGACTGTTCTCAGCAGTAGCAGATAACAGAAGAAGGAGAAATGGGCTCAAGTTGCAGCAAGGGAGGTTCAGGTTAGGTATTAGGAAAAACTCTCTCACTAGCAGGGTAGTAAAGCACTGGAACAGGTTACCTGGAGAGGTGATACAATCTCCATCCGTGTGGGTTTTCAAAACCTGGCTAGACAAAGCCTTGGCTGGGATGATGTAGTTGGGGCTGGTCCTGCTTTGAGCAGGGGTTGGACTAGATGTGACCTCCTGAGGTCCCTTCCAACCCTCATTGTCTACGATTCTACAATTGTAGTGAGCCTGGTCGCACACTTTTTGCACGCCAAAGCCCCATGGGGTATTCTTATAGCACATCTCATTTTCACCTAAATGAGACTTTAGGCTTCTAAATCCCCAATTTACAGACACCAATTTCCTGTCCAAATGACCTAATGAGTAAGCAGAGGTTTAACAGACAGGATCCATATCCCGGGTGGCAGAAGCGGTGGTAGGGGCTTGCCCAGCTACAGCAGCTGGGCTGGCAGTGGCAACAGCTGTTAATGCATCCTCTGTTAATGCCTGAGCTGGGGTCTTTGTTGCCTGACCCGTATGATGCTACTGCCAGCGAGTGCCAAAAACTGTGAGGACACAGTTATGCTTGCAATGGCCTGGGTACACAAACATGGGGGCCAGAGAGAGTGAAAATTCATCTGTCCTATACTTCGCTCTTCTGCTTCACCACAAGCCTAAGTACACAGAGGTTATTTGGAGGCTGGCAGGAAACAAGTTTTCAGTTTGAAACTTAGTCCCAAGGGATCATAGTACATTCAGCTTGTGCACTTCCCCCCACCCCCACCCTCCCACCTTTGTCTCTATTTTACCTTTAAAAGAAGTAAAACAAGCTGATTCTGAGCATGCAGCCACACTACTATCCAAAAACATCACTGCATCTTGTGTAGATGGACCCGAGGGTGCTTTAAATTAGCTGGCTGAGGTCCTGATAAGTAAATAGGTACTGCAATACTGGGTTCTACATGGCTACAAAATCTACTTAGGACTCAAAGTGAGTACTCAGGGGGCTAGACCAGGCCACTGCGGCTACGCTGCAATCTGCATCCGCCTCTCTATGCCTACATGAGCTGTAACCATGCCTTTGGATTACACTATAGACACACTTTTCACATTTGGTTCATCCATTCGTTGCCATCAAAAAAAACAGTTGCTAATGCTACATCACCTTTTTCAAATGAACAACTTGGATAGTAGGCACGATACAAGTTGTAGTTGTACAACTGTAAGTGCAGTTACAACTACAGTTGTCATTACAACGGCCAGGGAAATGTATTGTTTGAATTTGCTACCATGCAATGTGATATCTGAGTAATCTCTCCGAAGAATATAAACAGTGCAGAGCGCTGAACTATGTAATTCCTGTATGGTTTTGAAGAGAAGAACACCACAATTTCTTTTGCAGAGCACACAAACTCTACGTATAATATAGCCATTATAATAGAGAGACACAGATATGTACCTGTTTTTACCTTCTAAATGTCAGCACATTGGCTGCTTATACATGTGCTCGGGAGTGGGGATGGCGTTTTAATTAGAGTGGTTCCTGGACAGCCACTCTAATTAAAACAGCTCACCATCACATGTATTAAGTCCCCATGCATTTTAAAATGGCTGTGGGATGCTTTATCGAAAGCTCATTCAACAAGGTTTAGACAAAGTGCTCTTGAGGCCGTTTTAACATATATGGGGCTTAATACACACGATGAAGAGGCAGCACTGGAGCACTCTAATTAAAACGGGAACAGGCATGTGTATAGATCAAACTATACGAGTGTAGATCAAACCATTATATCAAACTATGTTATAGTTTCATAGTTTCATAGTTTCTAGGGTCGGAAGGGACCTAGGCAGATCATCTAGTCCGACCCCCTGCCATGGCAGGAAAGAGTACTGGGGGTCAAATGACCCCAGCAAGATGGTCATCTAACCTCCTCTTAAAACCCCCCAGGGTGGGAGCCTGCACCACCTCACTTGGAAGCTGGTTCCAGACCCTAGCCGCCCTGACCGTGAAGTAGCGCCTCCTGATGTCCAACTTAAACCTTCCTCCGCCAGCTTGTGACCGTTATTCCTGGTCACTCCTGGCGGCGCTCGGGGGAACAGGGACTCCCCCAGTGCCTGTTGATCCCCCCTGACTAGTTTATAGCAGGCCACAAGATCCCCCCTCAGCCTTCTCTTCTGGAGGCTGAACAGGTTCAGGTCCCGTAACCTTTCCTCATAGGACCTGCCCTGCTGTCCCTTGATCATGCGAGTGGCCCTCCTCTGGACCCTCTCGATGCTGTCCACATCCCTCTTAAAGTGCGGCTCCCAGAACTGGACGCAGTACTCCAGCTGCGGCCTGACCAGTGCCGCATAGAGGGGGAGGATCACCTCCTTGGTCCTGCTTGAAATGCATCTGTGGATGCATGACAAGGTACAGTTGGCCTTCCTAGCCGCCTCCCCACACTGCCGAGCCATGTTCATCTTGGAGTCAATAATGACACCAAGATCCTTTTCCACCTCCGTGCTGACAAGAGGGGAGTTCCCCAGCCTATAGGTATGGTGCCGGTTGTTCCTCCCCAGGTGCATCACCTTGCACTTGTCTGTGTTGAACCCCATCCTGTTCTCCGCCCATCCTTGTAACCTGTTACTTTGTTGACTGTCAGAATCAGTGTGGTAGAGTTAAATTACTAGAGCAGGGGTGGACAAAATGTGGCCCGCGGGCCGGATGCGGCCCACCAAGCCATTCTATCTGGCCTGCGGGGCCCCTAAAAATTTTAGAAAATTAATATTAATCTGCCCTGGGCTGCCTGTCATGCGGCCCTCGACGGCTTGCCAAAACTCAGTAGGCGGTCCTCCATCCAAAATAATTGCCCGCCGCTTTACTAGAGTATGGTATTGTCCTACAATTAAAGTATTATATTTGCAGAGTCATTTTGCTAGAAGGATAGAGGCTAAGGCCCCAGATCCTATTCCACTTATTGGATGATTAAGTGGACCTCAGTGTGATTCTGCTCTACCCTGCTTAAATCTCTGAGAAACCACCAACCACTTAGATGTCTAATAGGTAGAGCATGAGCTGACCTTGGGTACCTGACACTTTGCAGAGTACAAGGACTGTTATTGGGGTTACGGCTTTTTGTAGTGCAATGCGCTCCAACTTAAATTGTGAATGTGTTGCATTCGATACTGTACAAACCTATAGTAACAGACAGTTCCTTTTCTTCAGACTCTGCCTATTTAGACATGACAGACAAAGGATGAAACAAAAGTTTAGATGGATGAAAAGATCAGACTGAGGTCACACAATCAGACAATGACAGAGCTGGGAACAGGTCTCCCACATCCCTGCCAAATCCACTAGATTGCGCACATCCCCCTTTATCCAGCCACTGGCGTTGGTCTTACCTTTGTTGTCATGCCAGACTCGCACCTTACAGAGCTCTCCCAGGCTCAGCATGTCATTAAACTCAAAGATATCCATCTGGTTCCTTTCAAACTTGTTAGACTTATTAGATTTCTTCAGTGGAAGGGTCCCAGTGTCCCCATTCTCTCCAAAGATAATCAAGTAGACATTGGCATCTGTACCAGCTCCTAGAAAGAGGCAGCAAGACATAATTCAATAAGTGCCCATGTATCTCATTGTGTGGACAAAAGATTGCTAAACTAGCCAAAATGGATATCTCAAGGGTGTCACAACCCAAGGGTGTGATTTTGTTTGCGTGTGCTTCGGCACTGCTAAATTATTTCCCGCCAATTGCAGCTTCTTTGCACGGTGGAGTTTTCTTATTCCCACGTGGCGGCTAGTGATTGGCTTGCTAGCCTTATAAGAGGCTTGAGCGGTTTCCGCCCAAGTTGGAGAACTCCGAGGAGAACCCCGCGAGGGAGGACTCCATAACCATCTGGAGGAAGAGAACTTCACGTCTTGTGAAGATCTCCAAGCGCTGCGGAGCCTATCGAACCCAGCGTATACCTTAAGAAGGCTATAGGGGTCTGATCAACCTCTGGCCTCTCCCCGTCGCCGAACGATCCCTCAATGAACCCCTCCCTGCGCGCAAGTTCCACGGAGCCTAGCAAACTTCGTGTGAGTGTATTCAGAGCTCTTTGCTTCGAGTTGTTTTCTTCGGTTGACGCGACGGGCTCGCGTGTTTAGAGCCTTCAACCGGATTGGGCTAGAGGTTCGCGTGGAAGGAACTCTTGTCCGCCTCTCTTCTTTTCTATCTGTAACCGCAACTCAAGCAAGTTTTCCTGCCTGCACCGCGACCATCTTCGGTGTAAGTAAAATAATCTTTAATCAACCGCTAAGTGTCCGTGCCCAATTCTAGCCCACTGGCCTGCATTCCCCAACCCGGCATGTCCGGGCTGCTGGCCACAGCCCGCCGCGCAGGCCCCCGAGGGCCTCGGACCGCTCCCGGCCTGCACAAAGGGCAGGCAAAAAGGGGCTGGAATTCTTGCAATAACATGTAGGTCCCTCAAGGCAGAGCAGATGGATCATAAGCTTCTTGCACAACTCTGCTGGATCAGCAAAGAGAGTGGCCACAACAGGTAATGTGAATCCTTTTAACTTGCCCCCACAAATATCACAGAAATGGCCAGCCCTTCTCCTCGAGCTATCATCATAATAATGATGATCTCCTCTTATGCAGACCTTTTCATCCATAGTCTCAGAGTAGTGCACAAATATCAGTGTTACCCAGTTCCCATTTTGCAGCTGGAGAAGTTGAAGTATCTTGAGCAAGGTCATACAGCAATCCAGTAGCAAAGCAGAGAGCAGGATCTGGAGCTCCCATGTGGAAACCATCACTTCTCAACCAGAAGTAAGAAGCTGGTTTTATCAGCCAGTGTCCCCACCCTGAGATTCTGCTGTGCATGTTTTAACTTAGGAAGCATCCTGTGGTCTCCCAAAGCATGAGTATCGTGAGAGCAACACTGGATTTCAACATATGCAAGCAGGAAGACCTACCTTTGAATAAGAGGGAACACTGGCAGCCACATGAGCCCAGAGGCTCATGACAGAAAGAGGGTGAAGCCTAGAGTAAGCAGTTTGCAATGCATCCCGTTTGTTTAAAAATATGACACCAAAAGATGTGGTCAAGGAGTTAGTGTGTGCAGGACAGTCCTGTCCTGGGCTTGTCACGTGGCAGGGAGCCTTTGCGCACGGCTGCCCTGGCCCCCATCCATATTGCCATCTCCCTCTCTGGATCTGTGGTGATCCCACAAATTGATCTTCAAAGCACTGCACTAGCACTCCCAGAGCTAGCCCTGCCCCATGGCCAGACACTTCAGCTGCTGCCCATCTTGTAATGCCTTCCCTCCTCTGTGGAGCAGGAACTTAAAGATCATGGGAAGTGTATCGCTGATCTGGCCTAATTGCTGGTCTCCTACTGCATCTGCTTTCCATTCTCTCATTCATGGATTCATAGATTCCAGGGTGGGAAGGGACCTCAGGGGACCATCTAGTCCGACCTCCTGCCCCTGGCAGGCTAGAAAAGGGTCACCAAACCGGGGTCATGTGATCCCAGCCAGGTGCCTGTCCAGTGTCCTCTTAAAGACCCCCAAGGACTGGACAAGCACCACTTTCCACAGCCCATTATCCATCCTATGCCTCATTAAAGTGCCCTTAGTCTCTTCTCCAGCAGCTCCATGCTCCTCATTCCCACACTGTCGTTAGCATCCTCCTGTCTGTCTCCTCTTCCTTCTCTTCCATCCACAAGGTGTCTGGACATGAGCTCGCTCTTCTCATAGAAACAGCGTGGATCAGGTGTGCAGAAGCATTTAGCACTGGCCAAATTCTTCTGCACTGAAGCCCATGGTGAAGTGCCCACTGACTTCAGTGAGAACCGCGTTACCCCAGTAGTTGGAAATACCACTTGTTTCCTTTACCTACCACTCCCTAGCCCCAACCCTTCGCTGTCTAACAGTCACAGGAGGAGGCATTTCTAAGAGGCCGTCTATCCAATCTGCTGCCTATTACAGAATAGGTGACCACTGGTGCACAAAGAGCTTGAAAATGGATGTTCTTTGGACAGGCATGGGTGCCTGTGGTTACAGGAGGCTGGACTCCATGTGACTCAAGTAGTTGCTTGTTTTATTCACTGTAGACAATAGCTATGTGACACTGCACCAGCGCGAGGGTACACAATTATGAAATACAAGCATTTTAACTGAGTATCATAGGAAAATCATAGGACAGGGTCATGTAGTCCAATCCCTTTGTGCAGATGCAAACTTCGTGTCATTTTTGCCTGGCACCTTTTATAATTATCCTAGGAACTGGGAAACCTTTTCTTCATTGTTTTATATTTTTGACAACATCAACATGCCCAGTAGCACACAATCAGATTTGCGGCTCAAAGCCAAGCCTCTGCTTTTCACAAATGAGACTGAGATCATCAGATCTAAATCTGGTTCCCAAAGAAACCCAGCTTCCGCTGCCTTAAAGCAGAAATCCTTGCTTTTGAGACCCCAAAGGTTCTCACACAACCTACTTTGAACCCATCTGGCTAGGATTTTTGTACCACTCTGGTCCAGACACAAGGAGAAAATACCAGGGATCTGAAAGGCTGAGGAGAAAATATGCATCACTGCAGGATGAGCATCTGAAACAATGCCAATCTAGGGATAATTTAAACCAAGAACATCTTGAAACAAAGGCAGACAGAGTAAAATCAGAAACCTGTCTATGTGCAGAGGAAAGGCAAGGCCACACGACAAGGCCCGTCGCCACATGACATATTGTCTAGTGAAAACGGGGCTAATTTTCCACCGTTCCCTGAAGGGGGGGTGGGGAATAAACTTGCAAAGGAGGCAAAGCAGCAGG